GTAGAATAGACTGGAGCAGAATAGAATAATATAGTGCAATATATCATAATGCCGCAGAACAGAATAGAACTGAACAGGACATTGGAGAAATGAAAAACAAAATAATAAAGTAGAATAGAATTGAACGAAACAGAACAGGTCACAACAGAATAAAAAAAATTGAATAGAATGTCTGAGCCTGGTTTCAGAAATCCAAGTGAAAAGTACTTGATATAATTCCAAATATTGATAATTGGGGCTCATAAAATAATGCTAAAATAAATGCATTTCATTATTTTACAATTGTTTTTAAGTTTTCGTAAATTTTCTTTAAAAAAGTTAGATTTTAACATTTCAAAATCTAAAAGCGAAGCTTTGTATGTTTGAACTGAATGTTGTTCACAGGGATTGTGTTTGCACCGTATGGCCCACTGTGGCGCACAAACCGTAAGTTCTGTCACAGCACTCTGCGCAGCTTTGGCTTTGGCAAGCTGAGTCTGGAGCCGTGCATCCATGAAGGCCTGACCATGATTAAAACAGAACTGCAGAGCCTCATCGAAAAAACAGGGCCTTCTGGTATCGATCTGACTCCCCTCATCAGCAATGCTGTCTCCAACGTCATCTCCTCCATGAGTCTGGGTCAGCGTTTCCATCACCAGGACCAGGAGTTCCACACCCTGCTGGATCTCATGTCTCACGGGCTGGAGATTAGCGTCAACACATCCATTTTGCTTATCAATGTCTTTCCCTGGTTATACTACCTGCCCTGCGGTGTTTTCAAAGAGCTGCGGCGCGCAGAGATCGACATCACGGCCTTCCTGAAGAAGATCATCGCGAGGCACAGGGCCACGCTGGATCCGGAGAATCCCAGGGATTTCATAGACATGTATCTGGTGGAGATGCTGGCCCAGCAAAAGAGCGATAATTCAGAACAGAGCTTGTTCTCAGAGGACGATCTCTTCTACATCATTGGAGACCTCTTTATAGCAGGCACTGATACTACCACAAACAGCGTGTTGTGGAGTATTCTCTATATGTCCTTGTATCCTGATGTGCAAGGTATGTGCACCAGTGCTGTAAAGTGTAATTTACAAATGTCTGAAGGTTTGGTTTCTGGTTATATATGAAATTTTAGTTTGATGACCCCCTCAGAGAAGGTTCAGCAGGAGATTGATGCGGTGGTGGGATCTGAGAGAGTCCCGTCTCTGACTGATAAGGGCAGTTTGCCGTACACAGAAGCCACCATTATGGAGGTGCAGAGGATGACTGTAGTGGTTCCTCTGTCTATACCCCACATGGCCTCGGAAACCACAGGTGAGGTCAGGCCTTTGGCAGACAAAATACGGAAGCGATGCAGATTTGCTGCCTGATGTATGTTTACCTCATGCCTATTTAGTCTCATGAAACGTATTAGCTGTGCTACATTCACAAATTCATATAGTTGTACTTTTAATTTTATAATCGTATACTGTATATAACATTTTTAATTAAAAAAGAACACACTCAAAAGTAAAATATCGTAAAATGCGTAAAATAATGAAAATAATGTTACAATGTACAAACAAGATTGTTCCTAAAAATATGCTTTATTTTCTATAAGCAAAAATCTATATAAATATATTATAAAAAATATAAAGATACAAAATTAAATAATATAAATAAATATACTATATAAATATATTTTATATATACATATAATCTTTCCAGTCAGTACTGTTTTATTCTATTCTATTATGCCTTTATTCTTTTCTATTCTGTCAGCTCTTCTACTGTTCTATTCTGTTCAATTCTAAATTATTCCATTCTGCTCCAGTCTATTCTATTCCGTCCTGTTTTATTATGTTCTATTCTTTTCTGTGTCAGTCTCTTTTGCTTTTCTATTCGGTTCAATTCTAAATCATTTTATTCTGCTCTAGTCTAATATACTGTTCTTATACTATATAATATAAATACAGTGCTATAAATATACATTTTATACATACTTGGAGATTTTTTCTTTCTTTCTTTTTCTTTTTTGTGACCTGAATCATTTTTT